GGTCTATAATAATCACTACTAATTGGCTGCGACGCGTTACATCAATATATTATACGTACAGTTCATGATCTGACAACACCATCGGATACATTTGAACCGTGTCTATGATGTCGGTGTTGTCGCAAACCAATCGCGCCAACCGGACGTTTCTGATCTCTTGTAACTGATCTATAATGATAAACACAAGCAGTTTTATGGYCACTGCAAAATACTAGTCACATACGACATAGGTACCTATGTCAGCTATATTTACCCGGTGAAAACGAAGATGGTTGGTCGGGYAATTCGTACCAAAACCGATCACCCTTTTTCAACAGACTGAATTGAGATGCAATTATGCAACCGAACGTCGGCCCAACCACACTTCCTTGTGCAGGCTTTTCTGACACTCCACCAGACCACAAGTCGATGTCAAACGGTGATCTTATAATAAATAATAATAATTAAGTATTAAAATTTAAAATAATCATAGCGATGTTATGGCTGTATTTTAATATGCGAACTACTGAAATGTTATTTATTAACCAATAATCATGTACGATTTAGGTGTACCTATTACAGTAGTTAACAAATATAAAAGAAAAATATAAGAATTTTTACCTCGGAAAATAATCTTGTGCTTATAAAAAAAAATTTTAATTTAAAATTGTTTGATTGGTGCAAAATTTGTTTGTGATTTTTTAAGAAAAAAAAGGTAAATATAGTCCACAGTCACAAAAAATTGTATACTAAACATTAAACCATTTTCTGGTGGTTCGCATAGGTGCTATAAAATAAAMTACTTATTATGTTTAATTTCAACTAACGAGTATATCGTCTGATAACGTTGTATGGTGGAATTAGGCATGAATCCTGCCATTTCTTCGAATCTGTTGGCCACGGTCAACCCGCAGTGGCGTCTAAACTCCATGTAACCGGGTAACCCAAAGTCTCTGCCTCTCTGTATGTTGAACGACACCAGGTCGAAACCAAACCCTTTACCCGGCTTTTTGATCAAATTGTTAGTTACTTCTTGTGTTATTGAATCGTCCATTGCCTGTGCAACTTGATTCATAAGGCCCATCAAGTACTCGTCTATGGCGCCTGCTCTGTACAAATCGAAMGGCCGACGAATCAAGTCAGACAATTTTTTGGAAGCTGAAACAGTGTAAAACGTATTATYGCGTCAAAAGATGAAACGAGTTAWATAAATATATCGTGGTTTATACCGATAAAACCATGAGCTTTGCTCCAGCGTTCAATGACATTCGGCAACAGAGAATGGCCGAAACGAAAGGCCGCCGCCGAAAACGAAGCCAATATATTGGGATTTGCGTTTGAATCGTATCCGTTCCAATATCCCTAAAATTCGAAATATTCCGTAAACCCATGACAACGATATTATACAATGACGATACGACAAATTATTATTTATTATTTTAATGATTTCAAGATGAATAATATGTAATTACTTTTTTTCTGTTCGTCAAGCTATGTTTATCCATCACATCTTTGCCTAAAAGTATGGGCAGAAATTCGTTGTACGTTATATGTTGTATTTCAGCCACAGTAATTCTCTTGGCTTCCTAAAATCATAAGTTATGTTAGAAACTATCCATCATGTATGCGACGTGTCATACCGTKTACCTGATAGAGCATTTCGTCGTTCCAGTGCGGATTTATTTGAGACAGCTCTTTAGCCACCCGGTTGTGTTCTCTGGCCATTAGAGTATGGATGCACGTGAGGACGAGCTGTTCGTTCACTCTAATTTCACCTAAGAAAAAAAWTTAGCATTAAATTAACCAAAATTAAAATATTTTGTTTTCCTTTGAAGCAATTTGCCTCATAATTAAAAGAGCAAGTAAGTTGGTGACGCTCAACTGTACAGTAGGTTACAAGTGGCTCACTAATAAAAAACAATTCTGAGTGGAGGCAGTTAGTCAGCCTAGGATATTATACGAGTATATATTATGTATATATTGTTATTATTATTACTATAGTCGATAGGTTGAATTACTATTAATTGCATATCTTTATTTTTGTATTATATATAATAATATACTTTTTAAAAGTTACAAGAACAATGTTTTTAAAATAAAAAATAATATAACTAGAATCATTATTTTTAGTTATTTAATACATAGTTTCGTTATAATTTGAACATAAAATAACTATAAAAAACTGGGTATATATGTTTTTAGATTTTTTGGTTATTGCAGAATAAATAGATTATATAGAACCTTGCTTAAAATTTTCAATTGTTAGCTGTAAAAGTTTAACGTTTTATAAATTTTTAACCACCTATCTAATAAACAATTTGTAAATTTTCAATTCAATACATTTTGTCAACACTTGAACCTWTGTATTTAAAAAAATATTTTTCAATTACTATTGTAAAAATGTATCTGGAATTTTATTTTAATTGCCCTGAAAAATACTTTTCGGAGTACTGCTACATGGCGACACCCTTCCACCTTATACACGCCCAAGATTTTTACATACCATTAAGCTATGTTTATAGGTAAATTCAATGCGATCATACAGATATGCGAATCCGATTAATAATCACAATATAATGTTATGTTAAAGTATTCAAAACAAAAAAGTTACAAACCTGATTCAAAACAGTACTGAGAAGAATTCGATCTGATGCAACCTTCGTCCGGGATGTTCAATTTCATAGGCAACAGTTCTTTCAGTCCCAAATTTGAGAACGCCGGGTTCATTCTCAGCTGTCCTGTGTATCCGGACCTAAGATACCGAGAAAACGTTTCATCCACTCCGTAAATGGTGTTGCCATCGATCACCGGGGTGAGTAGGTTGAACGGGGACCTAGGTCCTGCAATCCAAAATTGAAATGGAAATCAAATAATGTAAAAGAAAAATTAATCGGGTCCGGAGAGATCCATATCGCATATACACATACCCAATCTACAGTCGGGCTTGACGCCCGGAAAAGCTCGTACAAAATCCTGACACCTGACGTTGTGATTCCTGTAAAAGTTGTCATCCTCGGGTATTTTTATCTCATAACAGTATTTGTTCTTCAAGTGATCCGGACGGCCGCAACATTCTTCGGGTTCGTTCCTGTTCACCGGGTCTGCGTGAACACAAGGATAATAATATAAATCGTCAGTGAATCCAAAAGTAAAAGTCATAACTGCAGTTGTGCTTACCCAACGGAGTGGCCGTCAGCGTCAAGTCATGGTCCATAAACTGTCCCCAAGCGACCAACATAACGGTACCGGCGTGCTCGTGCAGCCCCTCGTCGGGATGAATGGTTCGGGACACGACTCTGGCCATGGGCAGTGGTTGTCCGGAAGCCGACGCCTTGGGTGCAGACAACTTGTCGGAAAACCGTGGTGTCATCAATCTGAAAAACGAAGGCAGTGGTCCGTGAAATTTGGTACRAAACCGAAAATTTGGTATCCTGACTATACCTGTTGAACGTTGACATTGTGGCGCCCCACGTCGGGTTGTCTTCATTGTTGCACAGTCCGTCGGGCCTACGGTACTTGCCTGGTTTGCACACCACCCTCGTCAAACAAGACGGGCACACGTTCCGGATAAGCGTCTTGGACGTATCAATGGCAGGCAAGAATTTGTTCACGTCGTCCGCGCTCAAGTCATACCTGTAAAAAAAATGCACTGCTGCATTATATTATAGTTTTTGCATAAAATTGATAAATTCAATATTGAAAATACTAATTTAATAAATGTATTATGTATTATAAATTTGATATATTAATATTGTGTTGGTTGCTTTGGGCTTTACATTTTTGTGAGCACTTGTGACACGTCGAGCAGCAACTCTCCAAGTCTAGCAAAGTGCACCGGGCCCCATTGGTCGTTGGGTTCCAGCAGCGCTAAAACATATCATTATATTATTACAATATGAATTGTGAATTATAGTAATTTTTATTATAAGGCTCATCGTTAAAATTTTGATCGGGCTTGACAAGAACGTCTTCCGTGTTTTTTTTACTCACTGTGACGGTTTTGGACGTCCAGAAAAGCTCTATTGACCGTATCGTACGTGATACACATGTGAGCCGCCGATCGGTGTCTGTCAGGAAAACATTTATGTTAATTTTGTAACATATATATGATTATAGGTATTGGGTGAAAAAAACTCAATGATTAAATTGCTTAATGAAAGCATCCATATAATGTATTTACGATTTGTAAATTTCAATATAAGTAACTAAATTTACTAAATTTCATTGATTTGTAAATAATAAAGAACTAAAGTTATGCATTATATAATTTAGATTGATATTATTATAATAAATACAATTTTACTACAAAATAAACTATTTAGTGAAATCAATCTCTAATGATAGGTATACATTTGTTTTATTTATTTTTAATAATTATAAAATTTAATAAATTTTAAATTGTTTTATTATCATTATATTATTGCGGTTAATTTTGAAATATTTAATAAATGTAAGACGTATATTCATTAATTATGTTTTTGATGAACATTAATCATCTATTTTTTCCAATCCAACAATAACTATTATAATGTATTAGACCGGCAATTCTTTCAACGTGGTTCAAAAAACTATAGGGTATATATTTTTTTCTTAAAAACTAATTTTCTATTCTGACATAACATTTTGATGTTTATGAATATCGGACGTCAAACCAATAGAATATTTTTAAAGTAAAAATTATTCAACTCTCTAATAATTATTGCACAACATTTGCAAGAAAATAAAAACCGAATTGAAGTTCACTTTTAAAATGGGTGCATTCGAAGATTGATGTAAACGATACTTCACGTCGAAAGAATCGACGGAAGTAAACCTCGTATGGAAGCATTTATATTTTGTTCGACTTACGGTGAACCCTTTCCACTGTTGTAAATGAAATGTTTTGATCCTTCTAGCACAACGGCACAGTCGTTGCCGTCCACACCGTCGATCGGCGCGTATTGTGCGGCATGTCCGAAACACCAGACGAACGAACATAGCACGAACACTCTGTAAACAACAATATTAAGGTTATAATGAGAGGTAGGATCAATAATAAACCAATTTTCTTTTAATTTAATAATCATAGTGATAAATGAGTTTAATTTTAATTTCACAAATATAGGTACATAGATGCATGCACGTAGATAAATATAATTTCTATATTGTTATGGCACAATTTATTATAATATGAAATAAAGAAATTTATGTTTCACTTCATAATTGTTGTAAGTCATAGCCATACTTAATCATATATTCCAAAAGCTTCAATGCTAATTAAATATAATATCTACGTAAAAAAATAAAAAATTCCACCATTGATTACCATGCAAATAATATATAGGTATAATATAATAATACGCATGGACGAAAACAATTAGATTACTATTTTAATTTTCAGATAATTTTCCATCATATTAATCGTTTTTATTATAGGTAACAACTAACATGACGTATTACCTATAATATTTGAACGAAAACATATATTGAAATCACGACGGTTATATAACATATAGTTTTACAAACGTTCAAAGAATACAATATGTACGTTCACATACACACACACACAAGCATAATTATCATTCAAATATTATTATGTATCAATTCACGACAAATTTGCGTGTGTTATAATATGCATAGGTACAATAATTTTCTTTTGTTGTGATATTTTGTATTTTATACTATAAAAAAATAATTTAAAATATAATGGTACACATGCAAGTAACACGCGTCGCATGCGTAACCGACTAAATACGCGCTCGCGCGGGTGTGTGTGTGTGGGGGGGGAGGGGCAAAAGATTCTCATTTCTTCCAGTCATTCAGCCGTGAAAAAAAAGTTTTTTCTCCTGGCACGTGGAAAACGAACCGATGGAAATTCGCAGCGTTCAATTATTTGCGTGTTTGTTTTCATATTAATAGGAACATTTTAAATTTCACTCTTCGACACAACTGTATAATATAGTGATGTGATTGTACATTGAATATATTACAAAGTTTTCTAAAATCGCAAACACACATTTCTTCTCGTCCATATAACATAATAATAATAATAATATGATAATATTCGTGTGTTCGTTGCRGCTATACGCGCGGGCGCACTCGTGCAAGAGACGGATCCGTAACAATTAATAAACGACGGTCGTTGATTTCATCGCGAGATGATGATAATAGTCGATTTCCAATGTTATAATATTATCTTATATACTCACCCACGAATAAATAATTATACGCATCGAACCTGTATCCATACACATCGACAATATCTAATTATTATGCACTCTTATAATAACCAAATTAAAAGCAGATTCAGCAGCTGCCCAAATATGACGAGCATTAAACACGTTGATCGTAACATATTATGTGTGCATTGATGTAGCCACAGTTTAACAGTTCAAATAATATTCGTATCAATTTATTAACAAAGATAAAATCAACGCACATTTACTACACCTAATATGTACCATATTATACTTACAGAATGCTCAAAAGGATGTCAACTCACCAAATAGTGGAATGGTTTTATCTATCTGGCCCGCAAGCAACGCATACCGAATTAGGGTTTAGCTGTAGAGTCGTCCCTGCGTTGTTCATTTTGATATTAAAGCAAATTCAGCTATTACTATCGAAATTTGAACTAAGAACATTACCTACATTGGCCTTTTTACGATATTTTAATTTTTAATAATTCACACACTCATAACTTAGATGAAAAATTAAATATCATAGTATCGGCAACGTAGGGATACAGTTAATGTTCTTAACTTAAAGTTTGATAATAGATGAATGTACTCAAATATTGACATTAACAACACAGGGTTAATCTGCTAAACGTACATTTTCTATGTTGCGTTTACGTTGTTTTTAATATTACTGTGTAGGTGGCCTATTAGAGGCTTATTTATATTTGAAAATATATTGTATATAAATTAGATATAGGTGTATCTTTCCAATAAACATCTTAGTAGGGCTCAGATTTTGGAAGGATATTAAATAAAACAATTTAAATGTAAAAATTAAGCATATTAGTTTTGTACATATAATATGCACAATAATAATAATGAAACACGATGTGTGATTGTACAGAATTAATACGAGTTTTTTGTCGTGTGGCAACAGCGACAGATTAAGACTTAGGTTAGTGTTTATTACACGAACTTTTATACAGAAAATGTGCAACGAGAGTGTTTAAAAAAAGCTGAATGATATTTGTTGTTTTAATGTTATCGCGATGATATTTAATAACTTAAAATAAGACTTTGAGATTTACGTTTATGATCAACCGAGAGATTTCAATTCGGAAACTCTGTAGCGTATGTCTAAATTATGTCCCTTAAACTTTCTTGATCCTCCAACTAGCGTTTAAAATAAAATATATTTTTAATTTATTTCTATTTGAATAAATATTAAAACATCAATACGAATTTTTAATTCAATTCAAATAATTCATTAATTATGAAAACATTAATATATTTATTAAATTAATAATACATAATAATAATAATACTCAACTTGGCATTTTCTAATTTTCTAAAGCATATATTATAATATCATACTATATACGGAGTAAACATTTCATTATTTTCTTGTCATATACTATCTCGATCACTGTGACCAGCTGACCATCATTAATTTACAATAATTAATATCATATAATAAAAATTTAATATTTGGTCAACTTACCGCAGCTCCATGATGGCGGCCATCCGCATGGAATGTAATCGCCTTTGCAATTTTCCACAGACAAGTCAGGTTGTGTGTGCGGTGGAAGATATACAAAACCCGAAACGTCGATTGTCTGAAATCGCGTTTTAAATATAATATGGTWATAAATTATGTACAATTATGTGGATATACGTACAGACGTACAGTTGGCGAAAAGCGATTAATCGGTCAGTGAATCGTTAACAGATTGGTGGTGGCTATAGACGGTAGTGATATTCGGTCCGGCAGTGACCCTACACTGGTTGCTGTACAGCGCGTACTTACCGTAGTTTTCGTGCCTGATTTCGATGCGCACACCCCGGCAGCAATAGGGTGGGGAAGATTGAAGAGTGGGAAAATCCGTCATGGATCTAAATATTTCATTTGCAACTGCGAGAAAAGGGACTGGAAAAAGAGAAAAGTAATCTTTTAATTATTAGGTACTCGTGTAATAATRCCAATAGGTATATCGTAYTAAAATAAAACAATAATGTGTATTGAATAAGTTTAGATGAAAATGTCAGAGATACATTAATTACTATAAATAAAAAAATAAATGACAACTTAATTATGGTAAAATAAATAATTATAAGCATTCAGTTAAATATTATTTTACAAATATACAGAGAATATGGGTGTGCGAATACCGACATTTTAGATAAATAGTCTATATAGTATTTTTAKGTCGGCTTCTGCCAAGTATTATTACTATAAATAATTATATTTTTTTAACAACAACAAAACATTGAATAACTAAATTTACTATTCTTTGTTTAAAATTTGAATATCTAATTTTATCTAAAATTTAACTTCAAACGTCTTTACAAAAAAATGTATAATATCAAATTTTGATTTTTGGTTTTAGAACCAATTACTAGTTAAGAGAAATGTTGAATTAGATTTTAAGGCTTTTTGGCTAAGCAAAAATATTTATTGACATTAATTWATAGAAATTTTAAAATGTCCATACTAATTGTATTGCTCAAATTAAGCTCAAAACATTTTTTAAAAATTATACAATTTGAGTACAGATGGTGTAGAAATCTACTGAAAAACTAATCCAATCTTAATATTCATGTTTTGTAGTGTAGTACATCCACTGGAAGGCTTCTACGCTCTATTATATCTATCTATTTGTTTTTTTTTTATTATTACTATCTATTACTTGCCCAGTTTTTCTTTTCTGCAACAGATTGAATAAAATATTGTAAAAACAAAAAAAAAAATACAATTTATAAAGAATATCAACATAAACATTTGTTGAACATTTCAAGTACTAACGGTTATTCTTCATTGAATTATAACAAAATAAGATGATTGATCTTGACAAAAAACTGATTTTACGTAAAAATATCAATCTTTTCATTATTTTTTTAACCTAAGTACCAACTGGAAATTTTCATTTATTATTTTTACCTCTCAAAAATAACAACTAGGTCCAATTTTCTATAAGGCACTACTCTCAAAGTTGATGATTGAAGCATTTATTCTACTTTAAAACTTATACGGTGTATACAAAGACAAAAAAAAAACAATGATTACAATTATAAGTTATACAAATTTTAAATGACAGAAATTTTGAATACCCGAATTCGTTTACTACTAAATCT